TTTACACAACTCTCCCTTGGGAATCAGATAGCTAATATAGTTTTAATGATCAACAGAGGCTTCTTGGTTGTAGCTCAGTGATATCACATTAGTGGTTACTATCCCAAAGGCCACTGGCAGGGATTTCTTGATCTAATATGGGTCTGACCGGGAGATGGTTCTAATCAATGACATTCCCAAGACTCTTTAAATCAAGTCCTCAAGTGCTTACCTTCTTTACTTATGTATAGGGTCAACCTTTAAAGCAAGCTGAGAGTAGCTTTTTGTGATGGTTGTGTGTCAACTTGGCTGAGCCATGATTCTCTGTAGTTTGGCAGTGATGTAATGATGCAGTTTGTCTGTTACGTAATGATGTAGTTATCCTCCATTTTGTGATGTAATGTTATCAACTCCATGACGTGATGTAATCAGCCAATCAGTTGTAAGGGGAGTTTCCTCGGGGGTGTGGCCTGCATCCAATATATACGGACATTCTAGCAAAGCTTGCTGGCTTTCGCTTGCTCTGGATCCTTCATCCAGCTCATCATCATCTGTCCTCTGGTTCTTGGGACTTGAGCCAGTGGGCTGCCGTACTGCCTGCTGATCTTGGGAATCATTGGCCTCCAAAGCTTGTGAGCCAGCAGCCTGCCATCTGACCTGCTGATCTTGGTTTTGTCCATGACTAAACTACCATTTGTTTGAGGATTTTTTTGGTAACATCTTTCTGCTCGGCTTTCTCCATTTGCAAAATGTGTATATAACCCTTTCATGTCTGAATTATTTTCTGCTTGTAATTTTTTCAATTTTTTGTTTTTTCATTAATGGAATACATGCTGAATCATTGAGTGTATCTGAATTTTTGGTATGTAAAAATGGATTTTGAATAATATTATGTAGGAAGAACACGCATATCCCTCTGCACTATGGGGGGCAGGATTATGTGGAACACATATGTCCCACTGGACTCTGGGAGTAGGATAGTGGGATGAGAAATACAACTTCCAAACAACACACAGGTCCTGGAAATATACTTACAACTCTTATCTCACTGTAAAAAAGCCAAAAGAGACAAAAGTTTTGCACAATCACACCTCCAGGATGCTCCACCTAATACAATACCCTGTAAAAACAATAATTTGCATCACATGCCTATTTCTCCAGTTTCAAACAGTTATACAGGTCCCCGCCTGGTGGCAGCATGCACCAAAAGAGGAAAGCAACTTCCCAAAAAAACTGAAACGTGGAAAATGTACATGGACAAATGTATGTCCCATTACTTGCATAAATCTATTTTCCATCTCCTATGCATCTCTTATCCTAAGTGAATGAACACCTGATAAAACAGCATGTAAGAAAGGACCAGAAAGTGCAGTTGTGTTGACCGTAGATAGGAAAGGGAGCAGGTAGGTCTAATATTATCATCAGGCATGACTTGAGTCAAACTTAGAAGTTTTAGAACCATGTTTAACAATCCTGGCTACATATTAGAATCAAATTTGGATATATTTAAAAAAATATAAATTCTTAGGCCTCACTACCAAACACTCTGATTCAATTAGTATGGGGTGGGATCTAAGCATAAGGATACTTTAAAAGTTTAGAAGGTGATTCTATTGTGCAACCAAGACTGAGAACCACTGTCTTAGAACAGTCTCAGTAATATAAGGAAGGTGAAAATAACATCGTATTTGGTAGGTCTTAGTTGTGACCAAGAGCTGAGTCCAGCTTTATATTCTGGAGGCACTCAGCAACTGATGCTCAATGGGATTCACATCATGACTGTGGTCTGGAGGAAGATCCCTTGGAGAGAAGCCAAGAACCACAAGAATTACTGAAATGTGGGTTAAAAGGCGTGCTCAGAACTCACCTATGTTAGCCTTCTTCCTCATAACAGTGAGAGAACTGGCCGTTCAGCCTATGACTCTGGGCCTCAATTTCCTATCCATTAAATGAACAGGTTGGATTAGATGAGCTCAAAGAAAGGTTCCTTCCAGTTCTGTGATTCTCCAGTTCTAAGACTGTTTTCAAAGGAACCCTGGTGGCGCAGTGGTTAAGAACTCAGCTGCTAACTGAAAGGTCGGCAGTTCTAACCCACCAGTTGCTCCACTGGAGAAAGATGTGGTGGTCTGCTTCCATAAAGATTACAGCCTTGAAACCCTATAGGGCTGTTTTACTCTGTCCTACAGGGTTGCTATGAGTCAGAATTGACTCCAAGGCAACGGGTTAAGATCCATTTCAAGCAAGTGTTAACAGTTACACATTGTACTGATATTCTCTGCTCACTCCTTGTCTGGAGGTGCCCTGGGAAGCCTTCTGACCTCTCTTGGCTGCGAGCCAAATGCCAGCTTGGGCTCTGGCCTCCTCTAGTGGAGCAGGATCTCCAATCTTGGGGCCTCCCTCCACCCAGCCTTCCCTGGCAGGATGAACCATTGCAGTATGGTTCTTGTAAACACTCCTCAGTTTAATTGCAGGCACAGCTTCTAAGTGTTCTCTCTGCTCCCCGGCAAGCACGTGGCCTGGCCATTGCTGGTATCTGCACAGGAAGTGGTGGAATGTGGAAGTTTACACGACGTCAATGCACGCCCATCTTCCTTTCTCGCGCCTGGGGAGCTTGGCCAAAGGTTGGTGTGTCACTGTGCTCCCCGTTAGCCTCCTGTCAGCAGCCTGAGGGGATAGGCCTCTGAGCAGAGCTTAAAGATGTTTGTAAAAACAACAAAAACAAATTTTTAGGAATTATTTATTGGTTACATCCTGTGTAGCAGGGTCTGCACTAGGAATGTCACACACTTGATCTTCTTCAGGTCTCAGACTCTGGCCCAGAGCCATTGGACATGAATCTTCCCAGCCAATTCTCTAATACAGATTTTCCTATCGGGTGCACAAACTTACTGGAAAACCATCAAATCTGCCTTAAAGTTAAGAGAAAATTAGCATGAATACGTGCCGTGCTTGAGGATATGAGGAAGAAGAACTTTGGTAGGAAAAAGGGCAAGGGGTTTTCAAGTGCATATTGTGGACCTCTTTAATGCAATTAGGTTTTCAGCATCTGAGAGGAGAGAAGAGGGGGTAAGGTGAAGGTGGGGTGTATGGCTGGAAAAAGGCAGATTTAGTAGAGTCCTGACCATGGAAAGGCTTTGGAAGTAGAGATGGGAGCTCCGATGCCCAACAGAACACCGATGACATAGGTTGGTCTTCAGGTACCGCCTTCTAGAAACTGACCCCTCTGTCTGGGCAAGGCAGGGAGCTACCCTGTCACTCATCTCAAGTGCCTTCTGAGGCACTGAGGACAGTGGCACCAGACCCCAGCTCTCTTCCCTGGCCCTCCTTTGGACTCATGAGGACCTAGGATCCTGCAAGAATTCTGTTTCTTGTTCTGTAGTAGCAGTCCTTATACTGAGGGTGAGGCAGGACCAAATGGTAGCAATTTAAGCACACCAGATTCCACCTCTCGATTGTGAAGAGATTTTGATGCTCCCAGGCTGTCCAGGGCTTCCAAAGCTGGAGGGGCTGCTCTATTATCTTCATAGTATTCAATGGAAGGAGTAGAATGAGAGGTATTGCTAGATCAGGGCAGGGGTGGGGGTTGGGATTCAAATGTGCCACTTCTACTCTGCCTGGACTCCTGCTCCCAGATCCTGAAGGATCCTATAACATGAACCTCAAAACACCTCCATTTGATCTTAAAATACATGTTCCATCTGGAATTGTGAAGCCAACATTTCCATATTCAACTCTGTTTTAGCACCCAAGGAGTCAGTGTGAGGAATAACTGGGAGAACACGGGGACATATCTCTGGCAGATCTGCAGACACTCATTAACGTAAATCAGGTGTGCAATAAATTAAAAAATGAGCAAACGCCCCAAAATGAAGCATTTTATTGCTTTAGTTAATAACGTCCTAAATCAGTTTCACCAATCTCCTGCAAAGCAGGCCTACCAGGGGATCTTCTAAGTATTGACCTCACCCTCCATCAGTCTGGCCCCGGGGGGCTTGGGGTGTAGCAGGGTCTGAGTAGCAGGACTAAGAAACGCAGAAGCTTCTATCTGCATTTCTTTCACTCTCAGTGAGTAATAAGTCATGGCCACAGGAGGGGAGGAGTAAGACTCCAGAGTGGAGAAAACAAAGACAGGAGAGGAAAAAGTGAGAAATAAAACAAAGAAAGAAGAAAAACAATAATGGAGGAGGCACACATGCTGGGGAAGGCAAAGCTCTCACAAATGCTGGGGAAGGCAAGCCTAGATTTTGAACTGCTAAGGAAGCCACATGGTTTCAAGAGTTCAAGTACATTTTCGGGAGTAATGGGATGAACTATGCACAACTGGTACAGGGAAACCAGACCAGTGGTCTCCAGAGCTGAGAGGAAGTTTTAGAACATCTATTTATATTTGTTTTTATGTCATCATTATTCAATCTCTGTGCTGTGTATGTTTTATAACATACATGATGTATCAATACCACAGTATATGTATATAATTTATAAATAAATAAATATACTGGGGGAGTGTATGCTCAAACATTTTCCATGGATAGGGTACACAGTCAAAAGATTCTGGAGACCACCTAACTAGAACAATGATAAAAACCATAAAAGATTCAACCAAACTACCTGGCAAGGCCTGCACCTGGACTCCTGGACTTCTCACCCAGGACCGCTACCAAGCTGGCTCAATGTAGAAGGAGACTAGTCGGCTGTCTGCTGGGAAAGCTCCTCTCCCAGCTCTTCTCCAGTGCCTGACTTCCCTTTAAAGAGTGAAATGGACTGCATTTTGGTGAAACAGAAAAAATATATATTATTTTCATAATTGTTACTATCTAAGCCCCCAACAGGTCTCCAAGGAGGGCACATCATAGTGGAGGCCTTTGCTCCCAGGCCCTCCATATACACCTGTGCAGGTCCTGGCCACTGAAATCCAGCCAGTGTCATGGCAAGGGGTGCATCTGCCCAAGGAAGAGGGTGCCTTTTAAAAATTCTCACAAAGGTGTTACACGGATTAGGAATAGTTCTACTGTTTTTTTTTTTTTTTTTTTTTTTTTTTTTTTTGCTTTATTTGAATATAAATTTCCCATTGATTTTTGCCTTCATAAATACAATTTTGTTGCTTGTTTTTTCTTAGTCTAGTGACAACATTGAGTTTCCAACCTCTGGAGCATGTGCATTGTGGTGGGGTGGTAGAATGAGGTTCTGGCTTTAGCAGGTGCAGTCCCCCAAACAGAGCACATTACGAGTGAACACTCGAAAGCTGAATATCATATTCTGTCCCTGTGTCTCAGAGGTGGCCTGAGGCCATCTGGCTAGGTGAGTTGTTCCACACAGAAAACAAAGAACTGAGGGGTTGTCTCAGTCCAGCCTCCGGCTGGGGCCGGTCTGTTGCCTGTGTCCTGCGATGTGGCCTGCCTCATATGTCTCCATTGGAAATAGTCATCCAGTGGTGGAAGGTTCCATCTCACTCTGTCCAAGACCACCAGGGAATAATACAACCTTTGAATACAGCAAGGATGGCCATAGTTGTCCACACATGTACCTGCTCACCTTCATCGTCCTGAAAATTCCACTGGGTTATTTAGTGGAAACTGTGTTTTCCCCAAAATGTCGTTACCCTCGTAGGAAGTAATTTTTATCCCACGTCCTCAGGTAGCACTGAGAAAGGCAGCAGTGCTGGCCTCTCCCGGGCTGTCTCTGTGGCACTCCCAGGACACTCAAGCATCAGTCTTGGGCTCCTTCATCACTCTGACAAACTCCTTGACTTCTTCTTCCAACGCCTTGTTCCTCCTCTCAACATCCTCCCGGGAGCGCTCCGCATTGCGAAGGGTGATTTCCAAGGCTGCAAACTTCTTCTTCTCTTTTTCCAGTTCTTCACTGAGCCTCACCACCTTAGCCCAGACGTCATAGTTTTCCTTCTCAAGACTAGTGGAAAAAAAGAAAAGAATGACAGAACAGGGGATCAACTAAAGACTCTCCTTTTACCCTTCCTCACAACTTCTGTTGTCCATACTTTCCAAATCACAAGGCTCTTCTACTCTCCAACTACCCATATCCAACCTGTCCTTCTTCTTTAGAAGGACTTCCTAGGTATACCTGAACTCCCAGGTTATGTCTCAGCTTCTCCTCTGTCAATTAACATCATCTTGTGACATTACTTGTTTTATTGTTTTTCATGTAGTTTTGTTTTCAATTTAATAATAAAGTCTTCGAAAGAAGGGACCATCTCTAATATATTTATTTTTCACCCTCTCAGCACCTTGCATCGGTCCTGCTCAATAGAAACTGTAGATCGGCTGAAGCCCCATGCATACTCGGAATTCCCAACACCTTTGTGCACATGAGTGCCTCCTCATCCTCCTTGCATTGAAAGCACAGACCAGAGCTTTCTCTTAAGAAGGGCCTCCTTGGGAACAAGACTTGGAGAACAAGGGGATCTGTTGTTTGGGGAGCAGTGGTCCCAGCAAGCCTACACTCACTTCTGATTCCCTGCTCCAGGTGTGTAGGAATCCTGGATTCCCAGGATTTTTATGGTTAACTGGCCAAAATCCTAATGTAGTCCCACATGCCCTCCCTCCCTCTCCCCATCAAGCTGTGCTAAATTAACCCTTAGGGAAGGAGTGTACATATTCCATTTTTACTCTAAAAGAAGGAACTTCAGGCCTACGGGGAGATTGTGTGGTTAGAGATTTGCTCCAGAATTTCATTCTGTGGGGTGTTGTCTCCAGGCTCCCGAAACGACTGCCCATTTCATACCTCAGGTTCTGTCTTCAAAGGCCTTGACCCATCCTGTGTGTATTGGTCCCTGTTCAGAGCCTTCTCTCCCCGTCTATCTCTTCTTAAAGCTAAATTAGTCTCATTCCTTCCAGCCCTCCAATTACAAATCTAGCTTTCCTCTCCAAGTTCTCCATATCGCTCTCATTCTGGGAGAAATCCCATTGAGACACTGTGCTAGATCTGGAACATTGATTCCAGTGGAAAGGTAGGACTGAGTGGGCTTGGAAGCCTGGCTGACCTAGGTTCAAATCCCAGCGCTTCATACACCAATGATTAGTTGTATGACTTTCAGGAATCTGTTGCTACTTCCCAAGCCCCGTTCCTTCTGTAACATGGGAATATTACCTACTTCACCGGATTGCTGTGGGGATTAAAAGAGAAGGTGTACATGAAGCCTGAAGCTTACAGTAGGCGCTGTTGGACTGTTAACTCTCCTCCATCTACTGTGGACCAGAGGCTCCCCTGACAGGTGAACCTGGAGGATTTTGTTAGATTCAGGATGAGCGGCCCCTGCCACGGCAGCCTGCTCTTTCCTGCTGTCAGTGACACTCAGGCATAGACTGCAGTGTGAGCCTTCTCTGGGCTGCTGTGCTCACTGCCAAGACATCACAGAAGTCTTGTCATTCCACAAATTATTGATTTCAGGTTCTTAGACAAAGGAGCTACTTTTTACCTCTAGAGGGGCAGGCCTCTGTAGGGGAAAAATGGATAGGGGCTCTGAAAAGTCTTCCTTTCACTTACCTGAGTCTTAATGAACTGAAAAGTATCCTCAATATGAAAAAAAAAAAAAAAATCAGGTTGACGTCAAATTGACTCCCACTTATAGCAACCCCATGTGTGAGAGGAGAACTGTGCTCCATAGGGTTTCCAATGGCTGGTTTTTTGGAAGTAGATCACCAGGCCTTTCTTCCAAGGTACCTCAGGGTAGACTCAAACCTCCAATCTTTCAGTTAGCAGTCGAGCACATTTACCATTTACACCACTTTGGGATTCTACCCTTAATATGGAAACCTCACTAATTCACATTTCACTACTTTATGCTTTGTGCTAATATGGGTAAAGCCAGATTGAGGTTTTCTCTCATGAAAGAGAGTTTGCTGGCCAATTAGTAGCGTGAAAGTGATTTCAAGGAAATACTTTAGCCACCCAGGAGAAGAAATCATGTCCAAGCATTTTAGGAATTTGCATGAGATTATGGCGATAACTGTCTAACTGGTCTCCCACTTCCATTTGCTGCTCTGCAGCCTGTGTTCAGTCAAAAGCCAGTGATACTCTGAAGCATAAGTCAAGTCAAAGCCTCCAGTGGCTTCCATCTCCTCTGGCTTTACAGTTGTTAACAAAGCCCCATGTGTCATGCTCTGGCCTCCTGAACCTCCCTGCCCCATCTTCTACCAGCCACTCTTCCCCTGCTCCAGCCCCAACACCACTCTTCCATGGCCTCCGCACTGTGGCTCTCTCTGGCTGGAGTACTCTCCTTCACACGTGGACCTGACTTGTTCCCTCATCTCCTCCAGGCCTTTCATGAAATACCACCTGTTCGGTGAGGCCTTCCCTGACCGCCCTCTTTAACATTAGAATCCTCTTCTTGAGTGCTCCAACTTCCCTACCTCGCTTTCTTTTTCTCTGTAGCATTTTTCATCATCTGACATAGCATATATTTTAACTACTTATTTTTATTGTCTGTCTGTCCTCACTAGAATGAAAACTCCATAAGGACAGAAACTTTTGTCTGTTTTGTTCGGTGCTACTCCCCTGCACCTGGAATGGTGCCTGGTACACAGTAAAACCCGTTGTCGCCAAGTCGATTCCAACTCATAGTGACCCTATAGGACAGAGTAGAACTGTCCCATAGGGTTTCCAAGGAGTTGCTGGTGGATTCAAACTGCCAACCTTTTGGTTAGCAGCCGAGCTCTTAACCACTGCACCACCAGGGCTCCACTGGTACACAGTTGGTTCCCAATAAGTATTTGTGGACGGATGAATGAGACTAATATAAGAAATTCAGAAATTCCTCAATTCATTAAAATATATTGATCCTTAAAGAGCCACTATTTAAAACTAGTTTATTAAGCTACTTAAGCTAGACATAAATTTTTATAAATATAATCTAAAATTTAGAGTTTTCATTAAGTTAGTCATTGCATCACACCCTTCATCCTTTTAAGCTCAACTGCTACTTTCCACTGTATTCTCTAAATGAAAGATTTATAAGTCACCTCTTTGGTAGATGAGAGCAATTCCTATTATTTCTAAAGATGGAAGCCAGTGGCTGCTCAGTGCCCCTCTGTGCCCCTCTGTACGTGACTTACTTTTTAATTTGCTCCTCATATACTTGCTTCTGTGTTTCTATTTCCTTCTGTAGCTCCTGGACCATTCTCTGGGAAGATTTAAGTTCCTCTTCTCCAGAGTCTGTTGTTCCAGGCCCAGCTTCAGAGTTGGGGCTGGCAAGAGTGTCTCTCTTGGAGTCATAGGCCTGGGAAGAGGGTGCACTCGCTTCATCCCCCGGGGACGCTGGGAGGGCAGGGACGTTATCGTAAGTGGAAGTCCTCTGGGAGTCGGAAAGGTGGCGCAAATCTTGAGACATTGTTCTTCGATGCCCTTCCCCTTCTTTGGTCTCTGAAGGTGAGCAGAGTTTATTTTTAGAGATCTCCACTTTGCTGCTGCTGGTGCCATGCAAAGATGAAGTAAAGAAACTTTTCCGGTTAGGGAGTGTCTGAGTCCTTTTTCGTGATTGTAGCTTCCAGTCTCCTAGCTTTTCCTTGGAGGGTTTGCTGCTGTCATCCAGATACCCGTCACTTGGCTGAAGTCCAGTGGGGCTGGTTGTGTCTGAGTCGCTTGTCTAGAAAAAATGGCCAAGCGTGTTATATGGATTTTCTAGACATTTGCCTAGAAAAAAATGGCCATGGGTGTTACATGGATTTTCTAGTCGCTTGTCTAGAAAAAGTGGCCACGGATGTTGTACAGATTTTCCCCACTGAGGTGTCATGCTCACAAGATAAGGATTAAAGACTTGAAATAAAATGTTTCCTGGCTGCACAGCTATGAGAGTCCTAATTACAAGACCATCTCATAATTAACAACATTAGTTGATTATCTCCTTGGCATTTTCTCAAGAGGATGTTGCCCTTAAAGGAACTGATGTTCTGGAGATGAAGCACTGACTAAAAGCAACTGTGTATTTGTGGTTAAAAGAGTCCGAATCTAGGATCTCTTGGTAACTTTAGAACAGCAGGGCCTTTTTAGCTATGACTCAAAATCCAGAAGCCATAAAAGAAAACATGGAAAGATTGATAAATTCAACCTGCATGGTTCTGCATGACCAAAAAAACAAGAAGAAAAATTATACACACACCCCTCATATTTTTACGCAAATTATGCGCACCTTCTAAGTTTGTTTGCCAGCCACTCCCTTCCCCCTCCAGGTATTTTCATAAGCACGCTATGCTGATATTTTTTATAGCAACATGTAAAAAATTTGGCATAGCAGCACTTCTGAATACCATATGATAAATCAAAAAAGAAATGACAAACTGGCAAAAACATTTGCAATGCGTATCACAGACAAGGGACTACTCTCCCTAATATATAAAACTCATAAAAATTGAGAAGAAAAGGACCAACAACCAATATAAACATGGGCAAAGAACAAAATCCAACATTTCATAGAGAAAAAAATGCAACTGGCCCTTAAAAAGAGACGTGCAACCTCTCTCATAAGAGGAGAAACCCAAATTAAAATAAAATTACTACAATACCAGTTCTCATCCGTCACGTGGGCAAACTCTCAAAATTTGACAAGAAACTCTTGGTGAAACCATAGGGAAACACGTGCTTTCGTGCACTGCTAGTGGGAGTCCAACATGGCACAGCCTCTGTTTAACAACTTTTATCAGACTTAAACATTACAAATTCATTTCCCCTTGGACCCTGCAATCCCATTTCTGAGAATTTATCCCAGAAATATATCTGCAGGAATGAAGAATGAGGCCCAGTCAAGGTTATTCACTGCAGTCTTGTTTAGAGCAAAGGGCTGAAAGCAACCTGTTATAAATTGAACTGTGTTTCCCTCCCCTCATTTAAAAAAAAAAAAAAAGTTGGAATGGCCATGGGGAACGCAGGGTAGAAAGGGAAAGGGGGAGAGTACTGATATAATGTGGGGATTGCAGCCAATGTCACAAAACAACTTGTGTATAAATTTTTGAATGAGAAACTAACTTACGCTATAAACCTTCACCTAAAGCACAAAAAAACTAAAAAAAGAAAAGAAAAATAATATAGATGATAAATTCTGCCCTACAGAACTAGAGTGAGGAGTCCTAAGGTGCTCTATTTAAATTGCCCAGCACAGTGACTGCCCATAGCAGGCAGTAAACGGTGGCAACCTGTCAAATGACCATAACAATGGCTACTCTTAAGGACTGCTGGGCTGATTTCACTAGATGGAGTATCAGCGTTTTCTAAATTTTAATAAATTCAGAAACATAGGGTGTTAATAAGATGTGTTGTGGGTAGACAGATGTCACCTGTGAAAAAGCATAACCACTACCACTACCTACCTGTTCATCAGTACTTCCTTAATTAGTCTCAGGATTCACAGTACTATAGATAACTTTAGTTACCTGGTCAGCCAGAAATCCTGAATTCATTTCTTGGTCACACATAAAGAATCAAGCTGCTATAAAAAGTTCACATGTCCTTTTTACAAATATGTGTCCCCATAAATGTATAAAAATATTTGACCTTTGTAAATCATTGCCCTCAAGTATCTAAATTTCAGAGTCTGCAGAGTTTTTGGACAGTGGGAACGTGAGCCCCAACACTTCAGTACAAATGAGGGGCTGACATTGCCGAGAAGGCTTATCAGAGAATGAGAAATATTACATGAATTCATCACATACTCTCAGAAAGAAATCACGTTTCATGGGTTAGCAGGAAACCAGTTCTCTCTGGACTTTCAGCTAATTTTTTCAACAACTCTCACCAAAACATTTACAATATGGTATATATAATTTTTTTCCCATTGCACTTTCCTGGACCAGGTTTGAAAGGGTTTCTCTCTCAGGTGAGCTTCAGTGACAACCCCCATGGTTCAGTCACTGGGTGGCTGGCACACTTGCCACTAACCGTACCTCCAGGATGTCCTGGGCACCAACAGAGACTACACGAAAGAGGACAGGCTTTCAAGATCCATGCCAGTGGGTTTGCACCAGCTGGGCCCGTTGCCACAGCATCATCCAAAATACCTCAAGTTGCCAGTCCAGAACAGCCGTAGATAGAATAGCCTGGACTAAAGGAAGTGACAGGTGGAAGAAGGAAGGATCTCAGCGCCTTACCGTGTTATTGAAGCTGCCTGTCCGAGAAATTGGGGGGTCCTCACTGGCATCCCAGCCCACAGAGCTTCGGGCTACTGGAGGCTTCTTAGGGTCATTTTTCTGGGCAGAAGGTGACAGGGGTGAATCCTTGGACTTGGGGAAGAGGACTTCATGGTCTCTAATCATCATAGTCATTACCCTTTGGATCTGAGGAGTCCCTGGTGGAAAGAAGAAAGGTATTTGTAGTGCTGGACCCCTGGCAGGAGGTAGGCAGCTCCCAAGGGTCTCCACCCATATGATGTCTCCAAAGCTGGCTCTAAACCCACAGGGACCGTAGGGACCCCATATGTGGATGATGACAAGTCACTTTGCTCCTCACAGGAACCCTCCTAATTGTGGAGGTGGGGAATTGTGCTGTGAAAAATAGGGGATAGGAAAAGGATGTAGGAGTGGACTGAAGAAGGCGCTGTTAAGGTTATTTTCAGTCTGCTGAAACAGTTTTTGATCAGAAAAATCAGTGCTGTAATAGGAGAGAAATGAAGACATCTTTCTCTCCTAGTGTGGTCCTCAATATAACAGTTGATTCTTACTGGCTTCATAGATGGCAAATACGTACCTGGCATACTGCCTCTCTCCAACAGCAGCGGACATCACTACCTTATGCAGGACTTTTGCTCAGTGAGCAAGACATAGCCTCAGAAGTCTTCTCAACCCAGCTGTACAAGCAGCCTTTGTGTGAAGTGGCTTACAAAATAAAACCTGTTTGCCCCCTCTGGCTAGGGGTATTTAAAAAGTAATGAAAGAAATGTTAGATAACAGTTTTAGTGCCAGATTCTTGTACTCTGTGACCACCGGGCAAATCTCTTAAGTTCTCTGCTCTACTGTAATCTAGAAAGTGACACGAATCCTTGCCCTGCCTACCTCAAGGTCTATGGTATGATTTGGACAAGGTAATCAGATGAAAATGCTAGGTAACCTGCAGAGCAGTGCACACACATCGGCGATACTGTGGGAACTGTTAATATGTCCTCTATAGCTTCACCACAGGACCAGCCATACCTCTCATGATCACAGCAGGGTCTTCTACCTTTGACCTGATGAGATTCACACCAATCACAGTGGCCAGGTTGTCCACGCTCATCTTGTTAACTGCACAGTTCAGCTGGATTTCATGGAGGAACCTGCGGGCAGCCAAGAATCCCACAGTGGAAAACAGGAAGTTGCCAGAAGGAAGCTCTTCCAGGTACCAAGGAAATCTTAGGCATGGGTCCCAACTATTTCCTCCTGGCCTCTGGAATGGGATCACCCTACCTTTGCCCACAAAAGTTTAGCTGGGTCCTGAAAGATCCAAGACCAGGAAAGGAAGAGAAAACAGGAGGGGTCTGCCTAGCGGTTGGTGGTGGGTTG